CTTTTTTGTCGACCTCGTTGTGACGCGTCGTCGTGGCAGCCCTACAACAAATACTGATCTGGTGTAGTTTAAGATCTGAAATGAATCATTGCAGGAAAAAATATTCATTTTAACATATCATTGATTAATGCACACATTATTCAAACACTTTGGGATTTAACAAGAGATGATTAGATGGCACTTGTGCAATTATCAAGTTTTAAAAAGTCATTTATGATTCAAGGAAGATGAACTTTATTCAGGCTGAATGTGCAGAAGTCTCTTCTTCTGCATGAGACCTTGAGCAAAGATATTATGGCTCCCTTGTTTTATAACACGGTCTAGTGCAGTGCTTCTTGTTTGAAGGCCAGACAGATGGGGTGTTTGTGTCTGCAAATGAAAAAGTGAATTTTTGGTCATTTTGATGAAAACTTGACCTTTGGGTACGCTACAGTCGTGTTGGTAATGACAGGTTCTTTGGTAGTTATTTGGGTACTTAGCATTAGCATTTTCTTAGAATCAGTGGCGGCTCCCGGAATTTTTTTTCTGCAGGTGCTATGAAGGAGCTAGTCTTTTTATTGAGGGTGCTATGAAGGAAGTGGTCATGCGTACCTATTGTTCTCTAAAACACCTTCCACACTAGCAGATACACGTGCGTGCACAAAACCTCAACAACACCTGAAACAATCATTAATATACATCATAAACATATGAACAATCGCTGACTTTTCCATTAAATCATAAACACATACAGCCACACAGAAAACCATCTAGCGTTGCAAGTTTGGCTAACATTAGTGTTAGCATTTCCAGCGGCAAAACCCTCGACTGCTGCGGCGGTTGAAGGTTGACTTTTTTTTTATTGATTTTTTTCCTCCACCTGACTCAATCCTCATTTAAACCCGTCTGATCTCCAATTCCTGTCATGTGTGTGTCTATGCCTATGTATGTATGTCTGATCTCAGAATTGTGCGTACTGAAACTCTAAGTTCCCTCTGGGATTAATAAAGTATCTTTGAATTGAATTGAATTGAATTCATCCAGATTCATAGGTTTTTGTGGGTCTGAGATCACTTCCAAAGATTCATTCGTTTCTGACTGAACACGTGGAAATTTGGGCAACACAAACCGATCCATTCTACCACTAGCTCTACCTTTCACTTGTTCGCAGGTGGAAAATGAGGTCAAAGGTTAACATCAATTTCCTGTTTTGGTTTAAGTTTTTACTATCTATATGATAATTTACTGATTATTTTTTGTCTTGTATGCTAAATATTATCACATCCACACGTTAAATTAAAATTAAATTGTAAAAAGAAAAATCTAATACTCGCTTGGGGGTGCTATGGGGGTGCAATGACAAATCCAGGGGTAGCTATAGCGCCCCCTAGACCCCCCCCCCCCCCCCCCCCCCCCCCCGCCCGCAACGCCACTGCTTAGAATTTCCTGAAATTCTGAAGCCAAAACAACCGTATGATTTTGGTTGACAACACCTTGAGCGTCTGGACTGTTTTATAAAGCCAGTTATTAACTGCTGGTGGCTAACAGTAAACAATCATTCACTAGGGAGGTTCCAAAACGTGTTTGTGAGACAAAAGTTCTCTCAAAGTAACTCTGAAAATATTGAACCCTTCTCAAATAATTCTCTATTTTGTTTCTCTAAATAAGAAATTTGAGACAACATTAGCATAGATTAGAAACCACATTGCACATAAAAGGATGTTAAAGACAAAGTCACCCCCGACGAGAAACTCCACTCCCACTTCATGTTGTAAAAATCCGCTAACAAATCCACACATACACAGGCTCACAACAGCATTGTGACATATAATGTACCAAATAACATGATAGAGTACCTCTTAGCCAATAGAAATGGCAGGTTTAATTCAAACGCAGTACACAGATTTTACCTGACAACGGCACAACACTGACAGTTGTAGGCAGAATATTTAAATTTGAACTAAGATGCACTAAAGTGCCAAATTATTGGCGACACATGTCTAGAGCATGATTAGACACTCATTTATATAGTTTATCAGCAAAAAATGTTGATTTGGGGGTGCTTTGCTCTTTAAAACATGACAAATTTACAAATAAACAGAATAAGGAGTCTTAAGCCTGATTTATACTTTCTTCGTCTGCGTCGGTGCGGAAACGTGCAACACCATTATACTTCGGCACAAGAGCTCTCTGACGGGCTCACAGACGATGAAGAAGATGTGGCAAAATTTTTAAACATCTGTCAAAAGCGACAGAAACCGCAAACGTGTGATTGGTCAGGACGCCGCTTCCTGTAAATTTGTCCCCAGCAATGCCGTTGCCCCATCAAAAGTAAAAAGATATTTAGCGTCAGACCCAGGACAGACTGAAGAACACATTCTGGAAAAAGTCTGAAAATATGAACGTTTATTCACCCATGACAGAAGCAGGACAAAAAACGGAAATGGTGTGAAACGTGGGTTTAGAGGTGACGACCGCATGAAGAGGTGGAGGAGAATGAAGGACAAATTTGTCCGTGTCTCTGAAAGTCTCTGAAATATGTAAACACATAAATAAATACACTATAGGAAGCCTAGATCTCCTCTCTTTCCGGTCGGCTCATGGGTCCCTGGAAGAACAAAAAAAATGAGCGCAAGTCAACGCGGCTAAAAACTCTATTTTCTAAACCGCTTTGCCTTAGGAGCTGGATCACACATATGTTGTACTGCAATTTAAATGAAAAGTAATGATGGGTGTTTTGACCACTCCAGTCAAGTACTTTGACATGTTTCAGATTGTAAAAATTCATAATTAGCATGACTACAAATTAGACATTGGGATGTCGCGTATATGATGCCACCACAGAATCTCTTCTCCCCTAGCATAGCTGCTACTTACCACACGGACATATTTATGGTGCTTCTTTCCTTCTGAAAGCAGGATTTCAAGTTTGCTGAACTGACCATTTCCCCTCTGTTTTTCTCCGTGTCTGGTTATGTGACGACACTTTCGTGATGTGCATTTGTAGTCCTGGACTTATTTTCACACAACATTTGCCTGATTTATACATTTCCCCCGTTCGAAAAAAAAACCACGTTCTTGGTATCAAAATGTGTCTTTAAAATTCACAGACGTCATATGTGAAATCCATTGCACATAACAAGCGGAATTAGAAAATAGCGGTTTTAGCCCCATTGACTTCATTCATCTTTTTGTTCTTGCGGGGACCCGTGGTCCGGAAGTAGATGGGCGTGACTTCAGCTCCCTATCGTGGACCGGATACATGAGTGTTATGGTGGCATGATGCCACAGAAAAGCTCTACGCCCTCTGTTCTCCTTTGCTTCGCAACACTCTGCTTCCCGTGCAGAAGTTTGCATGAAAACCTTTCGGACACTCCGTGTGTGTCTGTTCATTGCGGAGCTCACGGTGAAGTATACATCAGGCTTTACCTGCTAAGCTGCCACAAGGGAATTATCCTGACTGACTTTGTTACACTTTGTTTTTAAAAACGTCACATTAGGTCTTCATCAAAGTGGACGAGCACTACCCAATCACCTGAAGTGTGTGATCTTGATAGTTATTATTAGATGAGTGAATGACGAACCTGTCGATTCTTGTTATCGTTAACTAATTATCTCAACGTGGTGTGGGATTCTATTAGAAATACAACCTTTTGCAGAACAAGTATAATTTTTTATTTGGTCAAAAGCAGGACATATTTTTGATATTTTACTACTTGATTAAATACATTTGTATGTTTACTTTTCCAAATTCATGAAAGTGCTGAACAATATATTAAAAATGATCAGTGTTGTACTTTGTGCATCTGCATGTTTATACATATACGGTACAGTATAATTAGACGTATGTGTTTTCTATTCAGGGTTAAGCTGTGGCGAGCTGGTGCAGTGTGGGAGACGAGCTTTCCTTTGGCTTTCAGGGCGAGGGTCACGCTTTGATTACAAAGATCACACTGTGTCAGACTTCAGTCGAATACCCCTATCAGTAAATTTATGTAATAACCCAGAAAGAAAAGCAAGTCACAAAAGTGTCAGAGGAATTGTTGTCATTTCAAACTTTAAAATATGAAGGTGAACAGGAAGAGCCTAAAGGATCGCCAGCTCCCAAACGATGACTCATGAAACGCTCCGCTTGCATTTATGAGTTTCTTTTTCCTGTGCCAGAGCTCTGATGGACTGCGGGCTAAAAAGAATCAGTTTAAAGCTGGGCCCCTTGATACTTGGAGCTCTTGTCAAAGCCAGCGCCGGCAAGTTTTGTCACTCCAGAACTGGGAGTTTTACAATGAAGCCGAGCAGCTGCAGTTTTCCCCTTCAGCCTGGAAGCGGGAGGCTTTGTGCTTCTTGTCACCCTGTGTTAATTTGGGCCCTAATGTATTTTATAAACAAAGGGCTGCTCTCTAGCCTGACAGTCGTGACACCTTGATTCCAGTGCAGGA